AGGAATAAGGAAGTTGTGTTTTTGTTGAGGTCAGTTTATTCACTTTCACAAATAATTGATCCCCCTACATAAGTAAACAAAAAAAAAAAGAAAAAGAAAAAAAAAAAGGAGAAACTTCAAAAACAAGTCATTTCAAAGGCGACACATTATTTCCATGCTCTGATATCAAATTACCAACTCTTATAAAACAGCAAAGTGGTATATAAAGCCATTGAATCAGGAAGACATACCATTCAAACAACTAAAACAAAAACCCTCAGAGTTGCCATACAGCAAAGAATGGCATGGGAGCACCAATACAACAGTAAGCATGTGAAGTTTGCTGGTTACATGTATGAAGAATTATGAGCACAAGAATTTCTTAAGAAACATCTTATGTTTGATCAATATAATGCAGTTATTATTTTACTTCACCCAATACTCATTACCAAACCATGGAGAAAGACAAGAAATCAAAACCCCAAAACATACAGACCCTTAGACTTGGGTGCAGATCCACTTCTAAAGCAAACCATCATTCCATCTAATCAAACCAAACAAAAATCTCATCTATCAATCCTTTCATAATTTTCAACCTCGAAAGCCAATCCCCATATCATTTCACAGCATAACTCCATCGATCCAAATCATTTACATTCAAATTACAAAAAAAAAAAAATATTTGAACCAAAATTAACACGCATCATCCAGGTCAGAGCAACATCCAAACCCCATACATACACGCATATACATGCCTATACACATGCATGGATGCATGGAATACAAAGGAACTGACCTTTTGGAAATCCTCCGGAGCGACACCGGGGAGGTAGAAGCAGTGGACGTGAACGGAGAACAGAGCAAGCAAAGAGATCCATAGAAGATGAACTCTGTGACCCGCCATGGGATCGCCGGATCTAGCTCCGATTACTCAGACCTCCACAACCTCTGTGTGTGTTCTGTACGGAATCAATCGGCAGTTATGGAGGTCGGTTTGTCTTGCGGGAAGAACAAGTACAACATCCCGCGAAGAAATCTATGTATATAGATATGGCGGACACCGTGCCTTGACCATTATTAAGCGTTGGATTTAAATAAATTGATTGTGATGTGCGGTGCTGATTAGATCTGACCATCAATGCCTTAGGATTACGGTAAATCTCACTTTTACCAAATTGGAAGCATCTTAAATATTTATAAAAATTTTTTATTAAAAATATATGATTCTATGCATTGTAGAAGATTCAGGTTACTTTATTTATTTATTTTTCTTTAGATTTTATAACTTTTTGCAAATAAATTTTTATTATGGAAAAATTACTTAATTTTTATTTTTTTGCTGTAATGAATAAGATATGATAATTAGTTTTTATTTTTTTAATCTTAAATTACAAAATAGGAAGCAACACTAAAAAAAGGTCTGAAGTTAGTGTTTAAGAAAAATTGTTTTATCCTCAAATTTCCCTACTTCCATCCCTTACTGAAATCACCAACTAAAAATAATTATAGGTGGTTTTGTTTATAGAGTAAAATATTTGTATTTATTTGTTTAATATTATATTATTAGGGGATAATATTTGTCTACTTTACTTCTTAAATATTAGGAGGAAAATACCGATGACTTATTGGTTGGAGTAGATGAAATTCAATTTTAGTTAAGTAAGATCTCGGTAAGATTTTTGAATTCAAATCTTGTGAATGGAGAAACAATCGTTGGGAGAATTTTTCTCTTAATGGGGTTTAACGCGGCTTAATTCCGATTAATCAGGATTCAATATTATTATCGGATATTAAAAAGTTAATACCAAAAAAAAGATTAGAAAGAAAATCATTCAAAAAATTATATTATTTCAATAAAGTACTATAATAAAAAAATACTTTAATTTATACTTTAAAAATATAATATTTTAGTCTTTTTCATTATAAGTTTATTGAAATCACAT